CTGAGATTGAGGTAGTCTGTGGCATGTATCCAGACTAGGTTATGTCCAAGAATACCACAGCTCCTAATAAATATAAATAAGGTGAGTTCTGGAAACTATGCTTCCAAAGCATATTATCACGCAGATATTATCATCCACAACCATGCCCTTGCTTATGAGGCACTAGGAGTAGTAAGTTGTATATGTTTTCAATGATGTCACCAATCTCTTTACAAAGTAACCTAAACTTTCTTCTGTATCTTCCAGATTTATTGAAGCATTGTCTATGCGTGGACTTTCCATCAATCCAAATCAGTACAGAGGTTGTAACATTTTGAATGGTTCCTAAGGGATATGGGTGTACATGAGACAAGGAATTGGACCTGAGACTTTTGCTTAAAGCCTGGACCCTAGAAGGGATCACCACCTGAATAGAGTTAAAAACTTCAGGGCCAGATGGTTTCAATGGCAAATTCTACTAAACATTTAAAGGTAACTTCAATTTTACACAATATCTTCCAAAAATTAAAATAGAACAAAATACTTCCCAACTCACATCACAAGGCCAGCAATTTTCTAATACCAAAAAAAAAGTATAAAAAAACTATAAATGTTCCTCACAAACACACAGACCTCAACAAAAATATTAGCACATCAAATCCATTAATATGTATTTAAGCAGAAATACAAATTACACAACAATAGAGTTTATCTTGGGAAAGCAGAGCTAATTAGATATCCAAAATTCAATCAATGTAATAACCGTATTAAAAATGTAAAGAAGAAACAAAAGATCATATCCATTTAAGCAGAAAAAGCATTTGACAAAATTCAACATCCATTCATGATGAAAACTCTCAGGAAACTAGGAACAGAAAAAAATTTTCTCAACCTGATAAAGAGCAGCTATGAAAAACCTATAGCTAACATCATAATGGTAAAAGACTAAATGAGATCAGAACAATGCAAAGACTTCCATTCTCACTATTCCTATTCAGTATTTTACTGGAATCTCTAGCCAGTTTAAAAGGTAAGGGGAAAAAAAAGACACACAGATTGTTAAGGAAGAAATCAAACTAACTCTATTCACAGACATGATTGTTTACATGAAAAACCCTAAAGACACTACAAAACTCCTGCTAGAACTAATAACTAAATGTAGTAACGTCGTAGAATATAAGGTCAATGAACAAAAATCAGTCATATTCTGACATACTAGCAACATATAGCTGGAAATAAAATTAAAAAAAAAATACCATTATAATAGCTCCTTTTAAAAAAAAAGAAAATAATTCTGTATAAATCTAACAAAATATATACAGGCTCTGTATGCTGAAAACTTTAAGACACTAATGAAAGAAACCAAAGAAAAGCTAAAAATTTGGAGAGACCAACCATGTTCATAAAATGGAAGACACAGAATAGTAAAGATATCAATTCTCTCCAAACCAATCTAGAGATTTAAAGTAATTCCAATCAAACTTACACCAAGACTTTTTGTAGGTATAGACAAACCAATTCCAAAATGTAAATGGGAAAGCAAAGGAGCTAGAATAGCCAAAACATTGAAAGGAACAAAGCTGGAGAAATCACAGTACCTACTTTAAAGACTTATTATAAAACTACAGAAACCAAGAGTGTCCAGACATAAACCCACACAAATATGGCCAAATGATTTTTGACAAAGATGAAAAAGTCAATGGAGAAAGGAAACTCTTTCAACAAATGGTGTTGGAACAACTGAACACTCATAATGCAGAAAAGAACTAAACCTCATACCTTACACAAAAATTAACTTGAAATAGATAACAGATCTAAATATGAAATGTAAAACTTTTAGAATAAAACACAGAATTGATCGTGTGATCAAAGTCAACATCTCTAGTGATTAAGTCACATTGATAACATGACCTTCTCATATATGCTGAAAAAGGCACTTCGCCTTTTTGATATTCTTTCCAAAAGCCCGTAACCCAAGTATAATCATAAGAAAAAGACACACTCCCAAATTGAAGGAGATCACACAAAATACCTCAAAATTATCAGATGATGAAAAATAAGGAAAGACCGAGAAACTTTCATAAACCAAAAACTAAAAAATTAGAGACCTGATGACTAAATGCAATGTGGTATCCTGATTTAGATCCTGGAACAGAAAAAACCAAAACATTAGTGGAAAAACTACTTAACATTTAGCTAATAATAATGTATCAATGTTGGTTTCTCAGCTTTTACACATGTTCCATGATAATGTAAGCTGTTAACAGTAAGGAAAACTGGGTGAAGGGTATACTGAAACAGTCTGTACTATCTTTGCAACTTTTTTGTAAATCTAATCTAAACCAAAAATTTAAGTTTATTTTTTCAAAAACAGGAGAAAGTTCTGTAACCTGGTGCAAGGATTCTTAGAGGTGGCACAAAAATCAAGATCCATAAAGTAAACTTGACAAACAATTTCATCAAATTTAAAAATTTATTCTGGAAAAGGAAATGCTAAGAATACAAGATAGGCTACTGTCTGGAAGAAAATATTTGTATTTGGAACATACAATGAATTCTCAAAACTCAACAGTGGAAAACAATCCAATTAAAAAGATCTGAAGACACTTCACCATATGACAGCAAATAAACACACGAAAGATGTTAAAAATTCAAATTAAAACTAGGATGAGAGACTACAAAACACCTATTAGAATGTCTAAATTAAAAAATACTGACACTAAGTACTGGTGTGGTTGTCATACATTGTTGTTGTGAATGCAAAATAGTACAGTCACTCTGGCAATCAGTTTGGCCATTTCTTATAAAGTTAAATGTACACCTACCATATAACTTAGCATTCTCACCCCAGATATTCACCAAAGTGAACTGAAAAACATATTTTCACACAAAAATCTGTACACCTATTTATATTAGCTTTATACTTAAAGGCCCAAACCTAGAAATAATCCTATCCTTTAACAAGTGATTGAGTAAACAAACTGTGGTATATCCTTACAATAGACTACTACTCAGCGATAAAAAGGAAAAAATTACTGATACAGAATTACTTCAAAGGGTCTCAAAAGCATTGAGTTGAGTGAAAGAAGCCAGTCTCAAAGGTTATTACACGATTCCATCTCTATGGCATTCTTGAAAGGACAAAACAATAGTGACTAAGAACATATCAGTGATTGCCAGAGACTATAACAAACAAGAGGAGTTTTTTGGGAGGTTATAGAACTGTTGTATATCCTGACTGTAGTAGTTTAAAAAAACCTATATATGTGTTAAAAGTTCAGTGAACTGTTCATCAAAAAAAAAAAAGGTCAATTTTACTATATGTTAATTTTAAAAATAATTTTTAAAAGTAAATGGAAAGGTTAATAAAAGCTAACAAGTGATATTCATTAATACACTGAAATCACTAACAAGTGATTCATTAATACATAAAAAGGTTTCATTTATTCGTTCAACAAATACTTTTGAACTATGGACTATGTGCCAAACACAGAGTTTGGAAATATATATTAAAAAGCTCAACAGAAATTATATAACAGCATTCAGATTTTGATAAACATAAGCAATTACCTTATTAAATCCTCACAATTACTCTTAAAGGTGCGTGTTATTTATTATTCTGACTACCAATGTAGAAATCAACTCAGAGAACTTAAGCAACTTGCCCAAAGTTGCAGAGATAATAAGTACTGGAACCATAAATTAAATATAAGTTTGTCTAATTCAGTGTCTGGGCAAACTGGAGATGTTCAATTAATGTTGAATAAATGAATGCATGCATGAAAGTGATACTCTATGATAACATGCTGCTTACTGATGTATTTTGTCATGTTAAATGTATACATTTGCATTTTAAAAGATCAGGAGAATATGGATGGACTAAATTAAAAGGGTAATTTACTAAATTCCTTTTATAGTTTAAATTGTTTAAGTTCCACTTTATTTGTTTAAGTACCACTTTATTTGTACTTGCAATAATTTTCTTTTTTCAGTGTGCTGAACATTCTGCTTGTTATGGTAATCGAAATGAAATGAAGAAAAAAGGAACACAGATATTACTTTCCTCTTAGAAATTCTTTAATTAAAGCTCAAAAGACCAACTCACACCAACAGAATAATTTAAAACTACTATATAAATTCCCTTAAACTAGGTCTCTTTTCTTAACCATATACTTGTATTTGGGCCATTTTGATGCATTTTAATGCCACCCCCTCCAAAATAAAGTTCAAACATACTTTGAATAATTAAAAGAGATAGGGACTTTTTAAATGTGATGTACTACTTATATTAATGCATCACATTTATAATTTAGAACTCTAACGTTATCATGTAACTGAGGTCAACATTTTATTTCAATTCAATTTCTGACAGTACATATTAAGTTTTCTATGATATTTAAGAGTTATGCTAATCAGAATCAGGTTAGACAGGACCCTCGAATATGACACATACTGTGCAGAAAAGGGTTAACAGCAGGCCTATGACTACTATCCTCAGAAGAATCTGCTTGCAAGGCTGACCTTTGGCTGGCACCTGGGAACTTGAATTTGGGAAGGGTTCCTACTAGTGCTCTAAATGATAAAGAGTTACTGTGCCTAAACTGTACAATGTGGTTTATGCTGAACACCCACTTTCCTTCTGGGAGTCTGAAATTTTGTCATGTACCAGTCAGAGGGTAACAGCCCCCAAATAAAAACCCTGAGAGCAAAGCCTCTAATAAGCTTCCCTGGCAAACATTTCATATGTGTTGTCACAACCTGTTGGTAAGGGAATTAAGTATGACTTTATGAATCCATTAGGAAAGGACTCTTAAACACTTGCACTTTCTTCAAACTTTGCCTCAGACACATTCCCCTTTGCTGATTTTGCTTTGCATGCTGTCACTATAATGAATCATATCAGTAAGTAAGGTTATATACTAAGTCCTGCGGGTCCTCCTAGCAAATTATCAAACCTGGAGGTAGTCTGGGGCCTCCCTGACACACACACAAAAAGTTATCTTTGTAAAATGTATACCTACCATCTTACCAGGCAATGTGCTCTTGGAGGAAAGTCATTATTCATACACAGCAAATCTTGCATAGATTGTGGAATAACATCTACAAAAACATTAGATAATGAAAAAGTTAATATATTCGTTCCAGAGCAAAACTTTCTAATATGATTTTAAAAAATAATACTACATAACATCTCTTGCTAGTCCATGTAGTTTTGCAATTGCTTAAAGATTTATATAGAGAGCTAGCACTAAAATTGGGGGAAGAGGAATGTCTTTCTCAAAAAAGCCAGCCTATGAAAATACATCTATGTATACACATATATTCCATGTTTACATTATTTTTCTTTCTTCTAAGTAATGACTTAAACAATTCCTCACCCTTACTAGAAAGCCTTGTTTTATTTATTCTTCTCGGTCTGCCCATGTCTCTACTTTTCTTCAAAATTCTACTTAGAAGTCTGTCAACTGCATATCATCTTCCATGGCTAGCTTCTGCTGGACCCTGGCCATCTTAAATGTTTTTGTGAAACCACTAAACAGCTTCTCACTTAAAACCATATATCTTTAAGCCCTTGCATTGCTATCCATAAGATACTAACATCAATGATCATTACTTATTCATAAATGCATTCAAAGCATAAAATTTTGTAAAAATATGTTTGGAAAAATATTTCCTTTTGCTGTATAGCTATAATTACTTAGCAAACTTATATTTTATTATTTGCAAAAATAAAAATGAGAACACTAATGACTTGACACTCAACTACAGCAATAAGCAACTCCAACGAAATAAAAGATCAGTGCTCAAATCTTCTGACATCTGATAATATAGTTTTAAATGTGTATCTACAAATTAACTGAGTTGATGCTTTACTTGTAAGTTCTAATTTCTATCACTAGTTAGTTTCAATCACCAAATTAAAACTGCACAATACCTACACAGATACCACAATTACACCTTAACTAATACACTTATCTTCTCTAATACCACAGTCTCCTTCATCTGTTCACCACAGAAACACTGATTCTAAGCTTCCTTAACACAATAGCTTTTCCTTGATGTATGATCTTTCCTCAAATTAATAGCACTTAAGATATCGCTACCTTGAACAATTCCTTTCATTAGTCAGGAGAATGTTGGACCCAAAAATCTCTGGGTCATTCTGAGACTTCCCACTAGTCACATATATTTCCTCTCTCCCCATACTCCTAAAGTACACATATTCATATTCTAGTTTAATTATTTTATTTTGCTGTATAATTGTCTTACATATGTGTATACATGATCAATGTTATCTATCCTAGTTTATGAATCTAAATACAGATGTTATCTAATTGTTTTGTTTGAAAGAATATATATAATAGAAAAAATATAATTTTATTCCTATACAAGAAAAGGCACAAAAATTTCAGGCCTATACTTACTAATGATAATCTGTTTTATCAAGAAAAACTTTATTTTTTTTACTGACATATAATTGACATTATATACGCAATAACAATTTGATAACTGTATACATTGTGAAATGATCAGCACAGTAAGTCTTATAGTTAACATCTGTCACCATGTAGTTACAAAATATTTTTTGTGTGATGACTTTTAAGATTTACTCTTTTCACAACTTTCAAATATATATAACAGTATTATTATAGTCACCAAGCTGTACATTACATCACCATGACTTATTTATTGTATAACTAGAAGACTATACCTTTTGACCCCTTAAGCCCATTTTGCCCACCCTCCATCACCTGCCTCTGGCAATTACCCATCTGTTCTCTATTATAAGCTTGCTTGTGGTTTTTGTTTGTTTTTTTCAATTCCACATGTAAGGGAGATCATACAGTATGTCTTTCTCTGTTTGACTTATTTTACTTAGCAAAATGTCTTCAATGACCAAGAAAACTTCAACACACATTCTGAATATTTATTTTCTGAGAGAATAAAGAAGGGTATTTGACTGACAGCTCCGAAATATATATTTCCTTAAAACCTTACTCACTTATTGTTAAACATGAATATATCTAAGGACAGAGATTTTGGATGATTTGACCTATAAACAACTACAGGCACCATTAACTAAGTACCTAGCATGGGCCAGGTACTGAGATAGGTATTTACATATACTATCTCATTAAATCTTCCCCTTAACCCTCCAAAGTAGTTATTACTTCATTTGAAAAATAATTCAAGTTTAGAAAGATCAAGTAACTAATAATAGAAAAAACCAGAATTTAATATACTGGATCTGACTCTAAAGTCTGGGATATATCCAAAACACTACACTGACTAATCAATAACTTTTTTTTTTATCCTTCAAAATCCAGCTTAGTTGCTTAACTCTCCGTAACACCTTCTCCGGTCTTTCCCCATTAAAGGCGATCTCTTCTCTGAACTTCGGAATTTTACCTGTGCTTTGAGATGGCACTAATCACATTCTATCTCCTATTACTGTTACTTACTTATAGACTTTATCTCCCCTACTGGAATGTAAATTTAAGTTTAGGTTCAATTGGGCTTAGCGAAATATCTAGCACATGTTAGGCACTCAATAAATATTTGCTGATTTAACTAGCTTTAAAATAAATGATGCTATGATTCTTCCTCTGAAAAGATCATACTTTACTTCAGATATGGTGAAACAACTTGGCATATATAAAATATCTCCAGAGGACAGTACATAATTAAGAGAATTAATTCATAATTCAAAATTATAACCACTCTTATAAATTTAAAATATGTATAAAAACTTACCTTCTAATAATTCATCCTTTCCTTCTTTATCAATGGATTCTTGTACAAGATAATGATGAGTAATTGAGAACTTGAAGTCAGCAAAGGAAACTTCATCTGATTTCTCTTCCCATGTGCCAGATGTAAATATACCCTATATTTAACAATAATATGGAAAAAAATCTTAAAGTGTTCGATATCTACCATTATGTTTATTCACAGGAATTTCTTTCCCTTTTTTCTTTCTATTAATCTAAAATTTCACCGTATAGCTACCCTGTACATAATTAAAGAAAAGGTAAAATATGTAAATGAATAAAATGAAGAGGAAGTTATTTTATAAATGATTTATCAGTATTCCTTTAAAAAGAAAACTCTCCTAGAATATTAATTATCAAGTGACTTACAAAATTCTAATTTTCAAATAACATCATGAAAATCCAATAAATCCCATGCCTGTTCATATACAAAAAGAAAAAACCCTCTTTACCAATAGCAGAATCTCTAAGAGTTACTTTTAACTCCTAGAAATGATGAAATTTTATAAATTTTGTTAAAACTTAGAAAAATACATGGCGAAATATACTTTTATAAAATCTCAAATCAAATAGCACTATGTAGCACACAGCATTGCTGAACATTAGAAACTGTTTCATAAAAAAGCAGTTTGTAACATCAATTTAAGTGATATAATATCTGTAGTACTTATTTGCTTATCAGGTTTTAACAAGCTTATCAAGCTTTGGCATTCAAAGATGTTCATTTAAATAGAAACTGCTTGATTGGAAAACATTTTAATTAAAATTTCCAAGAGTCCTTTTACTTAACAACATAACCATAAAAAATAATTTTTCCCATGGGGCCTCTAATCTCCCATAGCTGTTCTTTCCACTGGAGAGGTATATTGTCATTGCAAGATAGCCCCACTATGAGGCAAAAAATACCAATCCAGCAACTTTCCAAGCAGATAATCCCAAACTAGATAAAAAACATGTAAGCAATGATTCTGTATTACTGAGCTTTAAAACAGTGTTTTCATGACTATACTCAACATATAATACCTAAATGTTTTATGTGTTCCTAGAAAGGTGTTTATAATTCTGAATTGAGTTAAATCATATTTTAAATGTCCTAAAGGTATCTCATTAAGTAAATAAGTACATCAAACAGCAATCTTTTCATTAGGAGAATAATCACCATGCATGACACATCAAAATACTATGGTTTTGACATGTTGAGTTTCGTTAAAGTGTGTTAAATTAAGACATATATGGCCCACATAAGTCTCAAACTGAAATGAGTAACATAATAGTATACAAACGAGCTTGGTTTGCTAGGAGAAATGCCTACTATAAAGAAGTTAAGGCTAAAACTAAGAAAGGGGAGAAGTCCAGAAAATGATAAGTCCCTTTTTCAAACTTGCAGAAAAGTTGAAATATTTTTTCAATATTAAAATAACATCTGACCCTAATCCTAAATTTTGGACACTGCTGTCAACCTTACCAACAGCTATCTCAGGAGAATCTGGTTGGATTCAATAAAGCTTTCTCTTTATTCAAATTATTTTTAAAATAATTTAGCTCAACTGAAAAACAATATTCTAACCTCCCTCCTTTAATTCTTTCTGTCTTCAAATTATTTTTAAAATAATTTAGCTCAACTGAAAAACGATATTCTAACCTCCCTCCTTTAATTCAGTGTGACACAATTATTTGACACCAAATTTCAATAAGTGTATATTTACGATTAGAACCAGAAATGACAACTCCAGTTCAGAATCAGTCTAGTAATTCATGAAAAATAACCTCTGAGGGCCCCAGACAATAAAAAGAAATAAGAATATAGACTGGAAAGAAAGAAAATTGTATACACTCACAGATAACCTGATTATGCAATATAATATCCAAAAGAATCTACAAACTACTAAAACTGTTGAGTTTATGAACTTGTGAAATTCGAGGTCCATATACGAAAACTGTATTTTTATATACTAGCGGCAAACATTTGGAAAATGAAATTTTTTAAAAATACCACAACAAAAATTTAGAAAATAAATAAATATAAAAAATACCACAACAGCAAAAATAAATAAAATACCTAAGACTAAACTTAAAGAAAGATGACCAAGAACTCTACCTAATAATACTTGAAATTGCTGCTGAAAGATATTAAAGAGCTAGGAGATATATCATGTACATGGATATTGGAAGATGCAACACTGTGAAGATGTCAATTCTCCCCAAATTGATGTATAAACACAATTCTAATGAAAATCCCAACAGGCATTTTGTAGAAACTGACAAGCTGATTCTAAAACTAATATGAAAATCCAAAGGACCAAGAATAGCTAAAATAATTTGGATAAAAAATATACTACCTGATTTTAAGATTTACTTTGCTACAGTAATTAAAGCAGTATAGTACTGGCATAAAGACAAAAAGACGAACAGATCAATGAAACATAATAATCCAGAAACACTTTCACACATATACTTCATTTTACAACAGAGGAGCCACTGTAATTCAGTAGGGAAAAGATGGTCTTTTCAACAAATGGTCCTGAAATAAGATATTTGCATGGAAGAAAACATAGGAGAGTATCTTCATGACATTGAGATTGGCAGATTCTTTTGATAGAACACAAAAAGCACTAATAATAAACATTTTTAATTGAGACAATGAATTTCGTTAAAATAAACTTCTGCTTAGCAAAAGTTGCAGGTAAGAAAATGATTAGGGAAGACCCTAAAGAAAACACTCAAAATACATATACCAAAGGACTCACAACACCAGGATGTATGAGGATAATTTTTAAAACTAAACAATCCAATTGTTTTTAAATGAGCAAAAGACTTGAACGCTTAGTAAAAGAAACTATGAATGACCAATAAACACGGTTAATTAACTGTGATGAATTACTAGATACTATTCAGTCTCAGCAATCATTCATGAAATGCAAATTAAACCACTGTGAGATACCACTTCACAACCAACAGGATTACTAAAACTGAAAATCTGACAACACCAAGTGTCAGAATGTAGAGCAAGAACTGTGGTTACCTGTAAGATTTGAGTGGAGAGAGAAACAAGGATTCTTTCTAACAAAAATGTCCTAGATGGTGGTAACGTGGTTACATACATTTGTCAAAACTGTATAGTTGAATTCTATACATTTTACTGTGTATAAATTATAACCCAAATAAGAAAAAAAAATCAAAAGGATTTTTAAAAGAGACAAGGAGAAGGGGGGAACTCTAACTTCTGAGGAAAATGTGAGGGAGAAAATGCTCTTTTGCCAAAAGAAAAAATAATGGCCATTATGCAAGAACAACATGTACTAAACATCTTCATAATTTGGACCCAACAATCCTTTCTACATATCTTTCAACTTACACAATAAACTTCAGTTAACTAAGACATATTCTGAGCCGGAACTCTAGAGGGCCCAAGACCTGCAGGACAAAGATCACTCTCCCAGACTATTTTAACAGCTTCCCAGTGGTCTCCTTATCTCTACTCTACATAGTTATCTCCCTAAAAAAAAATCTGATATTGTTTCCTCTCCATTTAAAATGTTAATGGTTTTTCATAACCTATTTAGTAACCTCAAGAGATTTTTAATCATGTATTCTACCAGTAAAAATTTGAGCATTCATCTCCATGTACGTATATTTTTATTTATAAATTAAGCATTACTGTATCATATATTATGCATATCACCCAAAAAACAAAAATTTACATTAAAAGTGGATGTAAAAAATGTAATATAATTAGAAGTCATAATACACAAAAGCTCATGACAAGGACCTCTAACGAATGGCATGTACCTACACTGGTAGAAATACAAAGTCCACAGATGTGGCCCCACCCCTTCCCAATTTTATCTCCCACAGCTACCTTCCATCTACATGTTGTAATTATGCCTAACAATCTGTATTTCCCAGAGGCATGCTTTCCCTTTCACACCAGTGCATAGGCAATTTATCCTGTTCATTACTTTATTTCTTTTAGCATATTTTTATTTATCCACTCTTCAAAACTCAACCTGAATGTTAATTTCTGTAGAAAATCTGCTTTGATTATCATTAACAGGCAAGTTAATGATTCACTCTCGGTATCTTGTTCAAATCACTAGAATGACACCTATTCTAATCATTTATTTCTGTATCTATTTCTCCACTAGACTATTAAGAGCAAAGACTGTTCTATTCTTCTTTGCAGCCCAGAATTTAACAGTGCCTACGTGCTTAAGTATCTTAGGAATTACCTTTTTTCAATATTTATAACCCCCATATGTCCCAAATGTACTGGGAAATACCACTTTATTATCCAAATACCATTACCTATTTTTGAATAACATGTACACCGTGTTTCTAGTCTTAACAACCAGAAATAGCACACAACCCAATTCAAAAGGTATTCTCTATGACTTGAATTGAAATATGTATATCAGAGTCTTTATGTTGAGTTCTAGGTGAAATTTATTTCCTCACTGAACAGGTTAAACATAGATGGGTAAACTCACTACCTTCTGGATTAAGAGATTGTCTATAATACTTATACCTAAGTCATCTTTAGGATTTACTGGTTTCCAGAATCTAATTTCACATCTTAAACTGCCTACCATATAAAAATAAAATCTTCCATCTTAAAAATATAAATTTAACAATATAAATTACTGTTTAACAAATTAATTAAATTTTTTCTTCTACTGATAAAGCAACACACAAAAAAGAGCAAAATGTGGTAAAGTATAAAAAACAGTGACTTTTTTCCCTTCTTTTTTTGAGGGGCATAGAGCTGTGATTTTCAACCTAATTAGACTTTGTAGGCTTAAAACATGTACTGATAACTAGGATCCACAACAGATTAATTAGATCAGAATCTCTGAGGTTGGCCTAAAAACTAGAATTTTTCAAAAGCTGCCCACAGATTCTAACGGGCAGCCAGGATAGACAACCAGTTTGTATAGAGCTAAAAATTATACTTTCATCCACCGGTGGAAGAAAACCTTTTGAACATTTGCAGTACTGAAGTACAAATATTAAAAAGCCATCTAAGCCAAGACAACTAGATATTCATGTGCAAAAAAATGAAGTTGGCCCCTTTCCTTATAGACAGGAAAATTAACTCAAAATGGATTGTGGATCTATA